GGAAGTCAGGCGTGAGCACGGTGTCTGGCCCGGCCAGCATGAACAGCGTGTCCAGCGGGTGCTTCTTGGAGAGCAGATCCATGAGGCGCAGCGGTGATGGGGCGGCTGTCTGCACACTGAGCCAGGGCACCCGGGCACCGGGGAAACGCCGCTCCAGCTCTGCCACATGGGCCTTGACAGGTGCGAAGACATCTGCATGGGCCGCCCGCTGGGCCTGTCGTGGCTCATACAGTAGCAGCAGGGTCAGGGCTGCTGCAGCATCACCAGGCTCCAGCGCTGCAGTGGCAAAGGCCTCCAGGAAGCCAGGGGCCAGGTCACGTTCAGCCGCAGCCAAAGGAAGTAACACAGTAAGTCGTGAGGCCTCGGTGACATAGGGCACAGGCAAGATCTCCACGCGGCTCAGTGGCCGTAGCAGCTGCACCCGGCGGGTGAGGGGCCGGCGGCCACCCTCGGGGGTCAGCGCCTCCAGTTGCAAGTCCAGTGTGTACTCCATACCCCGGGCAGGATCAAAGCGTCGGTAGCCGTTAACCAGCTGCTGCTTCTGGAGCCGCAGGGCTGGGTGGTACCGGCGATTGAGCTCCTCCAAGGCTGCCCCCAGAATGTCGGCCACGTCAGCCTGGTCAGCCCCACGCAGTGGGCAGCGGGGCGAGCCATCAGCACAGGAGAAAGCATGATGCTCAGTGAAATAGTCCCAGCGCAGCACCTCAAAGCGAGAGGCCGGGCGGGAGGGTGCTGGAATGCCCACAGGCCAGGTGGCTGCCCGCTCTCCATCAGCAGCCAGACGGCTGGTGTTCTGGATCTCCCACTGGGTTGGAGAAACAGACCATGAGCAAGACATAGACCCCAGGGGCCAGCACAGAGCTGGGGGACGGGGTGAGTAGCAGGTGCCACTCAGGATAGGTCCCCGGTCCCTGCCAACCTCTGCCCTCCCAGGGCCCCCCACCTATCCTTTCCCTAGATGGAGGCGGCTTGAGAGTTAAAAGAAAGGGCTTCTGGAGAGGCTTTTCAGAAAAGACAGAAACAAACAGGGATTAGGGACAGCTGTATTCTGTGATTCTAGTGCTCATTTATTATTTCACTGGGATCTCTAAGACTTCTCAGGACTTGCCTCCCGACTCCCTGGCCCAGACCATACCTGCAGCTCCTGGATCTCCTGGTATGTGCGTTCCAGCTCAGCTCGGGCAAAAGCTTTATGCAGCTGGTACATGTGCACTGGGTCACGTACAGGGTGGGCTGTCAAGGCACTGCGGAAACGAGGGTCCCCCTCTTGCACAGGCTCCCCAGGGCTCAGCTCCAGATAGCTATAGTGTACTCCCTGGGGAGAGAAAAGGAAGGGGTCCATAATGGGAATAATGATGAGACAGCCTCCCTAAACTCACCTCATAGTGTGTCTCATCTACTCATTCTATGACCCGTTGTAGACTTGGAGTCAGAATTCTGTGGGTTTACATGCCTTGACCAGTTATGAGCTTTTATGACCTTGGGCAAGCCTCTACTAGCTCATTTATGAAATGGGCATGCATCCTATCTCAGAGCTGTCAGGAGTCTCAAATAAAATAGCCAACACTGAACACCTACTAGGTGCAAAGCCCCCTTGTTTTTTATAATCCTTATAAGAACCCTGAGCAATAATTATTTCCATTGGTATGGATGAGGATACTGAAAGTCAGGAGATTCAGTAATTTACCCAAGGTCACGGGGATAGAAAAGGACAGAACTGGTATGGAAACTCAGGCCTCTATCTCCAAGCACCCCTTTGCCTCTCAAGGGAAGTGCACAAGCTCAGATAGGAGGCACCGGTGGGGTTGCTTATTTTCCCACCTCGTGGTCGCCTGTGCAGCCCACCCCGGTAGCATCCAGGATGCAGCGTCCCAGCCACTCATCGGGACGCGCACTGACGATGTCGTTGCGGCAGCTTTCCAGGTGGGGGCGCAGCTGCTGCAGAAGTGTGCGCGACAGCAGCACCCCAAAGCCGCCGTGGCAGTAGCGGCCTGGGGTGGGCTCTCCACCGATGAAGTCCTGGGGCAGGCCCAGATAGAGGTGGGCAGCGGCTGCCAGGCTGAGGCGGCCAGCTAAGCGTGCCAGTCCGTGCGCCTCTGTGTAGGTGGTATCAGGCACTAGGAAGAACCAGTCAAAGTCGTCGCCGTGCTGCTCCAGCAGGTGGCGCAGTGCCAGGTGCAGGTGCCCGATGGGCCGCTCCTCGCCCAGTGTCACCACAGCCATGCCTGGTGGTGCCCGGCGGCCCCGCGAGCCTGTCAGGAATACCACACGCTCTAGCCGGTGCCCCAGCGTGCGGTTCACGGCCACACCCAGCGTGGGCAACGTGGCCTGTGAGGTCAGCACTGCCACCAGCAGCCTCTGCCTGATGCCCAGCTCCGTGCTGATGTAGCGGGTCCTAGGGTAGAAGATCGCACAAGATTATCAGAAAGACAATGGGAATTCAGGAGGCAGCCTGCATGGACTCCTGCAAGTCGTGTCTTCTCTGGGCCTGTATCCTTACCTATAACTAGATAAGGATAACAGTCAGCCTTATCCATACAGCGCTTTTGGGCAATATTCATTTACACATGAGACATATTGTGGGTCCGATTCGGTGTTTCACTACTTAGTAGTTGTATCCTTGAAGAAGTTATTTAACATATCGCTCTGAGCCTCAGTAACTACATCTGAAAAGTAGGGTTAATTGTATCTACTTAAAGCACTTAGGCAAATGCTTGGCTCATAGGTTCTCTACACATCATGTATATAGTACTTATTTCTATATAAGTATGCCATTATACCACGAATACATCACATAAATGATGTAATGAAATATATGGCATAGGGGTGTATTGAGTGTGTTTGGGGGAGGGGCAAACTGGAGTTTAGGGGTTCCAGTAACTTACCTTCCATAACACAGAAGGTAAGTTGTAGAACTGGAATTTGAACTCAGTGTTACTTAGGAGAAATTATTTCAACTCACTGGCAGTGCCATTAATGGGATGGCTACATCACTCCTCCCCCACAAATGTCACCCTGAAGTGTCCCACCCAGGAACAAGAGACACAGATAAATCCTAGTTCTCTCTTTTCTCTTTCCCCTTCTCTATAAACCTACTCTACATATCAATCATTTCTCTAAACCCGACAGCCCAGCCAGGGAGCTAAGAGGCCCTTTGGGAGACCATGGGGTCGAGCCAGTTTTAGCACAGAGGAGGGCAAGTTCAGTCCAGGCCCGGACAGAGCCCAGAGTGGGCCTCAGATGGCCTCCGCAGCTCCCGGGGAAGCAGGGCCATCGGAAGTTATCAGGCTCCAAAGACTTCCTGGCCGGCCAGTCCCTTCCTTCCGGAGTCCCCGGCGGCCTCCCCAGCGTGCCCGTCGCGGCCGGTGCCCAGGAGGTGGGGCTGGCGGGGCCGATCCCTACCTGACGGCCTTTTTGGCGGCCTGGCCAGGCTGTGCAGGGTGGTAAGGCAAGACACGCGGCTCCCAGTTCTCCCCGGCGCCAGCGCCGGCCCCGGGCCTCTCGCGCTCGGCTCCGGGCTGCACTGAGTTGGGCCGGCGCGCTGCGTTGGTGTTGCCGCGCTGTGGCAGCTCAGAATCTCCGGGCTGGGGCGGCCCTGGGCCGCACGGCTCCTCCACCCAGGTGACGCTGAGCAGGCTCAGAGTGAAGCCCAGGGAGATGCCCACGGCCACGGGCCCGGCCGGCCGCAGCACAGACAGCAACAGCGATGCCCGCATGGCGCCGGGA